GGCCTGTTTGGTTGAGCTTATTTTAGACAACTATTGATAAGCTCTTACGTCTGATCAGATATTTTACGCAGTTACATCTTATTCTTAAAATTATTTTTTAAAGTGTTTGGATACTAAGCTTATCTCCTAATTTTACCTATTATAAATGTGGGGTATACGTATTTAAAAAAAAAAAGATCTTGTTTTAAAAAAATTAAGATCTTTAAAAAAATTACCATACACTTTGGAAGAGCTTATAAGCTCTTATACGTCTTATAAACTCTTTTTAACATCTTATAAGCTTAGCTAAACACCTTCTAAGGGCCCGTTTGGCTAAGCTTATTTTAAATAGCGGATAAGCTCTTACGTCTGATAAGATGTTTTAAGAGCTGATAAACTGTTACATCTTATTTTTATAATGAATTTTTAAAGTGATTGGATACTAATCTTATCTGTTAATTTTACTCATTATAAGATCTTAAATAAAACTGTCACGTATAGGTACTTTTTTAAAAAAAGATCTTACTTGCTCTCCACAACTTATCTAAAAAAAAATTTAAGATCTTTTTAAAAAAATTATCAAACACTTTGGAAGAGCTTATAAGCTCTAAAACATCTTGTAAGCTCCTTTTAACATCTCATAAGTTTAGCCAAACACCCTCTAAGTCACACGTTGAATGTCATTACGATTGAGATACTCTTACGGAATATGCTGTATTTATAAGCATGAAAGATTTGTCTTTTACTAGGTTTTGAATAGATTCAAAGTGGTACATATCTTTGATTGAGACACTGGAAAATAATTTTTGGCTCGTTTAGTCCTCAAAATTCCCGCGACGAGTCATAATTCATGTTTCTGAACCTAAAAGAAAGAGAAAAAAGAAAAAAAAAACAAAACATGTAGTGAAATAAATAGACGGGAATTATGAACATTTCACTTTCACAGGTTGTTTGAGCAATTCATCGTATTTTTTGCTAAAAAAAAAGAAGCAAGCATGGATCGAAAAACAAACGTGTACGTTTGGGACATGGACGAAACTCTTATACTGCTCAAATCTTTACTAAGCGGCGCTTACGCCGCGGCGTTCAACGGTCTGAAGAATGTCGAGAGTGGTTTAAAGATTGGCAAAATTTGGGAGCATCATATTCTTCAGACGTGCGACACGTATTTCTTCTACGAACAAGCAAGTATCATTTTTTCTTTTTTTTTTTCTCTAATTCATTTTTTGGATCCTATATTCTTGATTTGTGTGTTGACTATTTTCCTCGAAATGTTTGACCACTCAGATTGAAAGTTTCAATCAACCGTATCTTGATGCGCTGAACGAATACGATGACAACTCAGATCTTTCCGATTACGATTTTAGTCAGGATGGTTTGGGGGTCCCACTTGATGCTCTTAATAAACGTAAATTGGCATATCGCCATCGGGTTATAGCTGACAAGTATCGTAAGGTACATTTTCTCTACTGGGTTTTTTTATAATAGATACTCCTAACTTGCTTGATCTATGAACTTCAGTATACTATGACCAAACCTTTCGACACGGAGAGCGATTTTATAGTGCTATATATATCGTAATAATTTTTACATTTTAACTTTTGCAGGGATTATGTAATCTTCTGAATCAAGATCTCGTAAAATTGTGGGAAAGTCTCTATGAGTTGAGCGACACATACACCGACAAATGGCTTTCTTCAGGTAAATTGGTATACATGGTCGATAATTCATAATCGCACAAGTCCTTGAACAGAGACGAATATCGTGGTAGTTTTTATTTAAGAAACTACACAAATATCGTGCTATGTTTTATATTTATTGGGTAAATTACAACCACCTCCCTGAAGTAAAGTGTTGTTACAAAAACAACCCCTTCGTTCTTAGAAATTACATCCAGCACCCTGCAGTTTGTAAATTTCTTACATCCATCCCCCTACTAAAGGGCGTTAATGTAAGAAATCTACATATTGTAAGGGGATGGATGTAATTATGAAAAAATAAGGGTTTCTTCGTAAATTGACCTTATCTCAGGGAGGTGGTTGTAATTTACTCTTTATATATTTGAAGCAATGCAAATTGTTGGTTGTAGAAATTGGTTCGTTTTCAGCATTGGGTGCTTGTAATTTCCAAAAAGGCACATGCGTTGCTGCAATGTGGCGTGATAAAATATCTCGATTCAGTCTTGAGTGGTGAACTACAAAAACTATCCTTCAGGTTGGCCTAATTACGAGGAAACCTAGTTAGCTTTCGGAATTACAAAATCCTGTTGAAAAATAAAAACATATGTCAAGAGGGGTATATATATAATTAATAATATAGTTAGGTTTTTCTGCAAATAGGTCAAATCTGAAGGGTAGTTCATGTAATTTATCCATCTTTTCTTTTACTCTTTCGATATGACACGTTTGATTCGTATGCTTGTTACGGTCTATTTTTTGTCAAAGCATAGAGGTATGCGTGGTTTTTGTTTACTCAACCCTAGACATTATTTTGTGTTATTTGTGTGCATGGATTGATACATAATATCGAAACGACGATTCTAATTTTATATTTATTTGACACTTGATACATTTAGGAATGTAACTATAAAATTGCTAATTTTGAATTTTAATCTGGTACAGCTAGGGCGTGCTTAGAGCAGTGTGCGGGTCAGAAAAGAGATGCAGAGTTCGAGCATGTGAATGTATTGGTTACATCTGGAGCTCTCGTACCCAGCTTGGTCAAATGCCTTTTCTTTCGACTTGATCATATATTTACTTCCAATAATGGTTAGTTTTTTCGTTCGTTCGTTCTTTCTTTCTTTCTTTCTTTCTTTTTTTTCTTTTTCCTTTTTTATTTTATTTTAAATATAAATAGAAAATGCCACTTAGTTTCTCCTCTAATTGACGATATCCTTCAGTTTCCATAAGAAGTTTCTGTATCGAGTACACTAACTTCCTACTTGCACATTGACAGCCATTGTCTAGCTCGCTCTCTCTCTCTCTCTCTCTCTCTCTCTCTCTCTCTCTCTCTCTCTCTCTCTCTCTCTCACACACACACACACACACATACACGCGGAAGATGAATAAGTCTACCTAAGAAGAAATTTGAGGTTAAGATAAATTTCGTGACTAATGCATACATGTAGGCCTCGTCTAGTGGGGAGATTAACCATGATTAACTAAATAATTGGACTTCGTTTAAACTTTGGTAGACCCAATAACTTTCCAGGTCAACCCAAAAATATTATTTTATCATGGCGTATCTTGCTATTAGGGAAATTATTTATTGGACCTCCCATAGTCCGACAATACAATTGAATTTTCATTAGATTATTGTATTATTTAATCCAATAATACCTTGGAGTGTTTTTTTTTGGGTAAATACATGTGGTTTGAAGTTTGAACTTCGTGCACATGACCCCCTCGTACTTTCAATATTGCACATGATCCTCTTGTATTTTAATATAAACACATAATGCCCTAACGCCCTAGTACTTTCAAAAAAATTCTCTTCCTAATGAGCATGATTATTTATCAAGTGGAATACAACAGAGGGGTTATGTGCTTATATTAAAAGTACAAGGGAGTCATTTGCATAAACTTCAAAATACAGGGGGGCTCATGTGCTCCAATTAAAAGTATAAGGGGGTCATGTGCACAAAGCTCAAACCACAGAGGGGTTAAGTGCTATTTACCCTTCTTTTTTTGTATTTCTATAATGCAATATTGTTCGAGAATTGTTTATTTGTTCGAGAATTGTGAATGATATAAATAAATATATTTCATTTCTTTTTTCCAGTGTACAGCTCTTTGGAAGTGGGGAAGCTCCAGTGCTTCATGTGGATAAAGGAGCGTTTCGAAGGTGAGAATTTCCGATTTTGCGTAATCGGAGATGGATGGGAAGAATGTGAAGCTGCACAATCGATGAATTGGCCGTTTGTTCAAATCCAAATCGATCCGCATCCACCTAATACCAATCGATTTCCTGGTCTCACTTCTCGAGATTTAACACACTATTTCTCCGATGAAAACATTGAAGAAACCGTGCGTGAAAATACTAAATGACGGTAAAGCATGTAAGAATCGACTGTAATGTTTTTTCCGATTGTAATATTTCACTAGAATCGATTATCAATGATTACTTGGCACAAATGATGCTGACAAAAGTCTATAATCGGTGCTCTCTCTCAAGTTACCGAAACATTCATTACAAACAATCTTAAAAAAATGGCATCTTCGTCTCGAAAATGTAATTCAGATGTTCTATCGATATAAAAAAGAATATATGATCTCAAATAAACTTGAAATTTGTCAACAATGTTGCAACATATGAAACACCAAAAAAATACAATACATAATCGACGCACAATGTTAAAAATCTTAACTCCATTGCGTCGATTATTTCTGTAACTATCCTCCTTTCAAGAAAAAAAAAAAGAAAAAAAAAGAAAGACCTTCATCTCTGGCGCATTGAACCCCTCGCATTCCCGGTTCGAATTTCAAATCCGTGCCCATCAACTCGAGTTACCCTTTAAAGTCAGACAAATCAATATCAAACACGTGTCCTGAAACAAATTTATATGATTGTAATTAAAAAAAAAAGTAAAGTATCGTAGATTTTTGAGTATCTAATATTCATAAATATTGTAAGTATGACAGCCCGGACTATTTTCAAATTGTGACACCAATGAATATCGCATATCCGGACTTCTACAACGCGACAAACATTTCATTACTCTAATACCAATTTAGTACGCCGATCCTTCATTTTTTTACGGATTTTGTTTTGCATTATAGAGGTATGTATATCGTGACACTTTGTCTTAGTTTTCGTTTCATATGGTATGTGCATCATTAGCATATCATGTATATAGTAATTCTTAAATTCAATTTTTGCCTCTCAACATAATGCTTGATTATGTAGGTTCAATTCAAATTTTAATGGATTTTTTTTAACAAGATAATTTAATTAATTTAATTGCAACATCTCAAAAACTTCTTAGTAGATTTTCCCTTCATTGTCACCATTTCTCTATATATACTAACATTGTTTCAAGAACTTTTTTATCTCTCTCTCTATCTCTTCTTGAGCAACATTTCAGAATGAACTCGAACGTGTCTGAGGGTGACGATGCAAGCAGTTTCGTTAACGATGAAAACGACAACATTTCTATTTGCGAAAATAGTGAAACTCAACCACAGAATAGAAAGCGTCACCATCGCCACAGTGCACATCAAATTCAACGAATGGAAGAGTAAGTACTTTTTTATAAAGTGGATTTTTTTTTTCATACAAAAATGAATAATTGATATTTTGTTTTGAATTTTTCGTATATGTTTAATCCTTTACTTTTTCGCTAATTTTTAATTAAATTTTTATTTTTAGATTGTTTACGGACAGTCCTCATCTGGACAAAAAACAAAGACGTGAGCTCAGTGAGGAATTAGGAATGGAGGAATTACAAATTAAATTTTGGTTCCAAAATAAGAGAACCCAAATGAAGGTAATTAAGACATAATTTTTCGTGTTCCTACGATTTTTTTCGTGTTAGAATTGTTTTTATTTATCGAAGATCTAAATAATAATCTTGTCTTTAAGCCCATTTTATGATATTGGAAAAAAAAATCTTTATGCTGCAGGGAAAATATGAGCACAAACAAAATACTTATCTCCGAGCTGAAAATGAGAAGCTCCGAGAAGAGAACTTGAAACTTGGAGAATCTCTAAGCAATGCTTGTTGTCTTGCTTGTGGCAAGATGATTGATCTAGGGGATTTGTGCCAGGGCGAACGCCGATTAAGAATGGAGAATGCTCGCTTGATCGAAGAGGTAAACACGAATTCTCATTAGTTTTCTTTCAATAAAAAATAAAACTCCCTTCGTTCCCTTTTGATAGTCGTTTTTAGCTTTGCACACGGATTAATAATTTCATTAATGTGCATTGATTTTATGAAAAATGTATTCTTTTAAACTATATTGACCTTATCTTATAATTAATAAGAGAGAGAAATGAATTAAAAAAGAGTATTAGGAAGAGTTAATAAGGGTATAAACTGGAAATTAAGTAATTAATGCAGTATTTGAATTCTAAAGTGACAGATAATATGAAACAAAATATTTTCATAAAGAGACAGTTATTATGGAACATATGGAGTAAAAGTTAATGGTGAGCCTGTACAACTTTATATCTCCCTCGAGATTTTAATTTTTTCTAGAATATTTATGAACTATTTAAGATAAAAGAGGTATTTTGTCAACTTCAATTTAAGTGAAAAAAAAAATTAAAAAAATAGGTGGACTAACAAGTGCATGCGGTAATATTTGGATTCGTTTCGGAAGTTACTTCCATTTTGCTTTGGAGAAATATATTTTGAGAAAATAATTTGAGAATGAAAGTAATATTTATTAATATTTTGAGATGAGGCAGATTACATTGTAGTAATCAAAATCATGTTTAAATATGTTGGAAAAATGTATTAGAAGAAGAAGAATAATAATTTGAATAATAAAGTGATGTTTGTTTTGTTTTTTAGTGAAAATAAAATATTTTTTTACTGTAGCAGTCAATACGTGGAGGAGAGATGAACTTATGAAATTGATTTATGATTGTTTTTTTTTTTTTTTTTTAAGTTTAACAAACACGAATTCATTCTCGGGAAAGAAAAAAAAAATGAGATGGAGATGAGAATAGCTAGTTTTTATTTCTATTTTTCTTTAAATGGGAGGATGTACTAATTAAGTTTCATTGCCCAACAATGAACATGACCACGGTTTGGTCGGTTAGGGTTCTGATTCCGAACCGCCGATTCCAGTTTTGAACCTTAATCGGATTGTGTATAGTCGGTTAAGGGGCAGTTCAAAAATTGCCGGTTAACCAAATTTTGATTTTTTTTTAATTTTTTATTTTTGCTGTGCTAACAGATCGATCGCATTACAACTCTAGCAGCGAAATACATTGGCAGGTCATTATAATTCTGGAGTTGCTGCCATTTTTCGAGGATAAAGAGTAAGGGCAAAGAAGCGACGTTTTGGTATATGCTGATGGTTTTCGTTATCCATGAATGATTTTATTTTTCTTTTCTTGAGGATTTTTAATTATAAAAACAACCAAGTCATTTACCTTTACCTGTTTTCTTGGAGGATTTTTACTGGATATTTTGTTTGTTTAAGACATTATTTGATATAAATTGTGTTGACATGTTTTCTCTTCTGGTCAATTTTATTTAAATTTTTCTATATATATCTCATATCCTATAACCTATATATATATATAAAAGAAGGAAAGTTAGGGATGTTTCTTCCATTTTATGGAGGAATTTTTTTTATCAATGATATATTTTTGTATTATGAAATGCTGAATGTCGTTTAAATTCTATTGGTATCGTTTTGATTTCAAATGTGTTTTTGACCATTTTCAATCTGAATTTGGCAAAGCTCGAGCCACTAAATTTGTAGTCGGTGAGAGAGTTATGCATGAATGAATTAGAATATGAATTAAAAAAACTCAAAACATCTAAGATATATGGAGTCGGTGTTTCATAATATTCATGCATATCTCACATCCGACATCCAGTCTAGCCAATTCAAGTTGGATTAGAAAGTCAACTCAAATGACTACTAATTTGGCATTTCGAGTTTTGTCAAATGATAAAAGACTCAAACATATTTGAAAATTGAAACGATATTTAACACCTCTCATATTTATAGAATTCAAAGAATAATTCGTATTTATATCAAGGTTAGTTGTATAAGTAAATTTTCATATTCTAATGTTCTTAATCTAAAGAATTGCTGGATTTATTTTATTCTATAGTTTGTGGATCTACAAATACCCTAGTTAAAATAAATTTTAATAGTTCATCTAAATCGTTAGATGATATCTCAAGACATAGCTGTATTTATATTATGGAATATATATATATCTGAGGACTTAGAGAAATTGAAAGCATTGACGGATTTTTTTTGAATAAACATATCAAGTCATTTTGCATGACAAACTTTATGGGTAAAATTAGAGATTTTTCCTAGTTATTTATACAAAAGTTTTGATGGGTTTGACAATAATTATATTCATCATATTAATTATACTTCCTCGGTATTCATTTGAACGCTATCTACCTATGTAGCACGGATACGAAAACGGTGATAGGGGGCAACGACATGTCCCAAAAAATGTGATACAAGAGTTTGAGGGAAACGTGTAAATATTAAAAGTATAGGGGTATATTTATAAAAAAATGCTATATAAACATATATAAGTTATTATTTATATATAAATTCTTTTTATATATTTTCATTCAAACGTATTCAAAATAAATTTTATTATCAACTATCAATTTGTAATTGATCATTAAATCATGTAGATAATTAGGGAATCAACAAAAATATTTGAAAATTTGTTATTCAAAAAACATACTTTCTAACTTTTCAAAAATTGCAAAACTGCCCAAAAAGTATCTGACAAGTGTTCTCGAGTATCGCGTGTCCGAAAAGCGGAAGTCTTCGTTCTACATAGCTATATACTATGTGATATATTTGGCAACATATGAAAAGAATATATACCTCGGTTACTTGGTGACTCACATCCAATCCATGTAAGACACGTGGAAGTTTGTCCACTTCATCTAAAATCTAACAAACAACTATGCCTCTTGCCAAATTTTTTTATTCATATCGTCAAGTTGAGAAATTTAATTTCGGAAGAATTTCAAACTGTTACCAAACATTTTTTATTTGGACTTCAAATTTATGGACTGTAATTAAGCTAAGTTAGTGTCTTATTTCATAAGCTTCATTTTCTGTAGCGAAATCGGACTTTATGCGCATCCTTTCGATTTCACAGTTTTTCGGTTATTTATGACAGAAGTTTACATTTCCAGTAGAGAAAAGAACAAATTTTACTCCATATGTAAAAGATATATATAGCTACAATTGCTACAAAGTATTGTGCATTACAGATATTGTTCAACAAATTTACTCCATATGCAACAAACACATTCATTACACACACACACACACACACACACACAGTTCAAGAGTACTTGAACAAATACAGATATATCTATCTTCCCACTACCTCATATGAGAGGCGGCTGCACTTGTAGCTGTTGCTACAGTTGGGGGAAACACTATTCTTCGCTTCTCTTTCCTCCGATTAACGTGCAATTTTGGTGATTTGGCTTTCGTTACTTCTTTACCAGACCTGTTCGTTAAACAAAAACCATAAAATTACCTATCACGACATAAAAAAGGATACGCTAATATGATTTATATATATTGGTTTAAGACGTACTTTTGAGGTAAGAATGGATGATTAAAGTTAGGCACCGGTCTTGCATGGGGAACTAATGTCCGTCGCAGCTGTTTCAAAGCCTTCTCTTCCTCCATCTGCAACCAGTAAAATACAACATAGTTTTTAATCATGTTCGTAAAACAACTTATTGAATACAACGTAAGATGTTTTGTTTTATTTGTGTGTGTGCTTACCATTTTTGCAGATTCTGCCTCCTCTCTGTATCTCTTGTAAACCGTTTCTTTCTCTTTAATCTGGGACAACAAACACAAACTCTTTGTAAGAATTGTTTAGTGAAAGAAAATTTGATGCATATTTCGAGGAAAAAATAACAAACCTTCTTATCGAATTCTGCTCTATCAGCAGCTCTGTGGTCAACGTGTAGATTGAATTCTTGAACTTCTGTGAGCGGCTTTCGTTGTTTCTCCGGAACTGGAATAGGGTCCCTGATATATATATATCATCAATACATTAGTTAAAAAAGAAATCCCGAACAATTGAGAGAGAGAGAGAGAGAGAGAGAGAGAGAGAGAGAGAGAGAGAGAGAGAGAGAGAACATACTCTTTCAAGATAGGTTGGGCTTTAAATATTCTCATCTCAGCTTCTTCCATTTCCATTCTTAACCTTTCTTCCATTTCTCTCTGCGTCTCCTCTTCGTGTCGCAACAAACTTTCCAATTGAAAAGGTTCCGGTTTCGTGCATGGCTTCGGCTCTGGTTTCGGTGGGATCTGCACAATTTAAAAAGATCATGTAAATTATTAATCACACAAGTCATATAATCTAAAACTTACAGACATATATCTATCTATATATACACATACCACGGGATAATCAGTTGTGTAAGGGTATGGACAAGCTTTCGGTATTCTAGCATTTTCCTCTTCCAACTGTTTCTGCAAGAGTTCCTCAACCAACCTTTTCTCTTTTTCCGCCCCTCTTTCCTGAAAATACACGAAAAGAAAAACATAAATACGAATGAAATATAACATTACACTAAAGTGGATGAATTCATCAATATAATATATACATACCTCTGTATGGAGATGGAAGGGATTCGGTGTAGTATTTCTAGGGAGAGGCTTCTCTTGATGAGATTCCGAACATATCGAAAGCTGAAAAAAGCACGAGTGAAACAAGATAACTTACTTAGTTAAACAACAAACTCGACGAATTCAGTGTGTTATGTAAGGTGACATGGAAAAAATATTATTATTATTATTATTATTATTATTATTATTATTACCTTATCAAATAGATCCAAGACAGCAGCAGTTGGTGGTGGGATTCTTTTATCTATGGCAAAATGGAATTCCTGAGGTACAGTAACCTGCTTCTTCATGTTGCAGAACATACCCATTTCCCCTTTACTCTCGAATATCTGCAGAATCGAAAAAAATAGTAAAATTACAGTAATGTAGAACACAAATAAAAAAAATATTCGTGAAAAAGTGGTGTGAAAGTACCTTTTTATTCAACGGTCTGGCCTTGAAATGTGGAATATTTTCGAGTTCTTCTTTTTCAAGTTCATCGGAACTTTTGATCCTGGGAGGACGTGCTCTGAGAGATGTTTGAAGATGAGGCGATTTCGGTGCTGTAAGCTGCGGTTTCCATTGATGGCTCTGCAAATCGCAAATAGTTAAATATAAATTATTACCTTTAATAAACCAACATTTGTTTGAGACATGGAAGAACATTCAACTAACTGTATGTACGTCGTACCTGCACCTCTGTAGATTCCGTTGAGGCCACAGTAGATACTTCTGCATTCTGATTGGCCCTTGTCATTGTTTCCAAATGGAATTCCTGTCCCAAGTCAAGAAATATAATAAAAAAATCTGTGATCATACTAATAATAATAACAATTAAGATTTCCTTCACTTAATTTACCTTGAATTCTGGAGCATGCGGTGTACTTCTTGGCAATGGTGGTAAAGTCGGGCCCTCGAATATCTGCAATAAGACCAAACAATTAGATATAAAATGAACTTAAATTTATGTCAAGACTATATATTATATTGATAAATGTAAATACCTTTTTGTTCAAGGGGCGAGCCTTAAACTTAGGCATTTTAGCCATGATCTCTTCCTCCAGTTCAGCTGAACTTTTGATTTTAACGGAACGCACTCGTTGAGATGTTTCGAATTCGGGTGTTTTAGGCCTCGTCAACGTAAGCTTTCTCTGCATTGTTCCAGCAGCATCGCTCTGAATTTATATATTTTTTTTAATTAGGAAATAATAGATAGAAATTAGCAACATATTTTAACATCAAAGAATAAAAGAAGCAAGATAGCCTTAAACTAAGTTACCTGTGAAATAGAAGTATTACGAGACAACGACACTTCTCTTGTCCCTGATTGGAACTTCCTCATCATCTCCGCCGTAGAAACAAATGGGGCGGCAGCTGGTTCACGAACGTACATCTTCACAATGAATAAATGTGTCAGCATCCTAATAAATGATTTTTTTTTTTTGAATTTTGCACTCAATATATTGCAACAAGCTACCTTTCTGTCTGCTTTAGAAGTTTTCGCATTTGAAGGGCACACATTCGAAGTGTTGCTAAGGATGCCGGATCTTGTTTTGTGAGGCAAATTTAAAGGTTTATTGATTGTAAGAATCTGAAAAGAAAAAAAAAACGAAAAGGGTTACAACTTACAACCAACATCACAAACACATGATATATATATTACGAAGAAGATTACTATCGATATCTACGCACCTGTCGAGTTTTTCCTCCATCCAACTTTTGCCTTTTTATGGCATGGTTTTCATGGGCAAAGCTGGGGGTTCCGACGATATTCTTGGCATTTGGATCTCTGAGGAAGTTACAGGTTTTAGAAGCTATAATAAGTTATAAGAATTATTATTAACTAAAGGGTAAGTTGTAAAGAATCAACCTACCTTCTAACACTAGCTGGTTTGGTGCTCTTAACTTGGGATTTTGGCAATTGCTTTTTTGAATTAATCGCCGAAGGATTTCTAAGAATACTGGCTATCTTCTTGGCTGTCTGAACCCTCTTGTTTTCGTTCTGCTTTTGCGGAGCTGGAGTGCAGCAAACTTCCGGCACTATTATGATGAACACAATTTCGTTTATATCCAAAAAAACCCGAAAAATATTACTACTCTGACACAAGTTTAAGGACGAAAGGCTAACCTTGGACAGCTTCTGTAGGGAGAGAAGAGGAGTCCTTTTCTGGTTCGACTCTGAAATTAAGACCAAGAAAGTTTTAAGTGTTTAATTCTAACAAAAGACGAATATGGATTTGCAAGACAAATAACAAAGAACATACATTCCATTTCCTCCAGCATTTACCGTCTGCTCGATTAACTTATTCAGAATGTCTGCACTAACATTTTCCTTAGTTTCAACTGAAGTGACATCTGGCTGAGGCTCGATATTTGTAATGACTTGTTCAGCAGTTTCACCCGAAACGACCTCTCCTTCAGGTCTGCATAACATACAAGAGTTATATTAGAATCATCTTTTCCAACGGAACGAAATAATTCTAACTTATTAAGTCTTCCGAAATGCGGAGAAACTAACGTCGATTTAGTTAGTGATTTCGGTGCTGATTCCTCAGCAGAATTTGTTACAGTTGTCTCCTTTTCTGATGACTCTGATGCCTGTGACAAGTACAGCACATTTTACTCATCGGTCATTAACCTGTACGGAATTTGTGAAATCGACCGAAAACAGAAAAACAAGCACGAATAGAAAAATTCACCTTGTGCGTTTGTTCGTCTTCACCGAAATTGCAGAGGATCTGTTGCTGAACTGTTCTGGTGGCCTTAATTCTAGGCATAAATGCTGCACAACAGAAGCGGCTAAAAACGTTAAATCCTCACTTCAAACGAGACGCAATGTGATAATAATGTACTAAACGAAGGGCAATACAAGCACACCGAGATCTTAATTACCCAATGCACATAAATGAAACTGAATTCAAGTAACTAATGTATAAGGGAATCCGGGAAATTGGGGCATTCGCATGACGTGTCACCGAGACAAATTTCCACTCAAAATCTTGTACACCACATTTGGAAACAAAAAATTGTTAACAACTTCGTTCCCAAGTCGTACTTCATTTCTAGACGAATCTCGACAATAATTTCAATAACCTAAAAGGCCAGATGGTTCTCGACAACAAATTCAAAAGAATAAACTGAACCAGAAATGTTCTCAATTTGCCTGATAAACAAAAATATTAAAGAAAAAAAATGAAACCCTAATCAAGAGATCAGAACTTCTCAAATTCACACGTCAAATAAAGATTAATTCAAAGATTTCACAAACCAACGCAAAACTCAACTATATTTCAATCGAATTGCAGTCAAATTGTAAAACCTAATTAGAAGAAAAAAAAGGGGGGAAATAGAAAGCTGACGCACGAGAAGGGGCGTGGGGGCGGGCATCCTCAAACCAGAGCTCCGCCTTGCGTACATCTTCATCAGTCTCCGTGCACATGAAATCGTAAAATCGAGGCGCCGAAAACTCGTACGCTCGATCGATCATGAACAAATTACTGGACGATTCATCCAACGCCGCCATTCAATTGAAGAAAATAAACAATTTTTTTCTTCCGTAATTGTGTAGCGTGTTTAGAGAGAGAGAGAGAGAGAGAGAGAGAGAGAGAGAGAGAGAGAGAGAGAGTTAGGTAAAGGGGAAAGAGGGGAAAGTCCTTGATCTTGCAAGAATTAGAGACAGATGGGAGGGGAGAGTAAAGGGAGAGGAATATTATTAACGTTCGGATTTTCTTCCAACGGTCGAATTTTATTTTTGAATAGTGACTGTTTGGAATGTTTGTGATTGGGATGATAACGGCTAGTTAATTTACCATGGTCTAATTGCACAAAACGCTGCCGTTTTGGAACAAAATAATTAATGTTTTTTATTATTTATTTTTATTTTTATTATTTATTTTTTATTTTTTATTTTTTATTTTTATAATAGTCTATAATAATTGGTATACCAAAATTGTTCCCATTGGTCATGGGTTTGAACTAATGGTGTAAATCGGATCGGAAAAACTCCGATTTTTTTTTGAAGTGAAAAACTAGTTTCAATTATGTTCCAAAGAAATTGGAAACCGGAATTTCGGAAATTAGAACGAAAAAAACTTGTTCCAAAATTGGAAATTTTTCGGATCGGAATCAGCGGAATTCGGAAATTTCTAATTTTTGCTCACCTTAAATATAAAATACATATTAATACTGGTATTTTAATTGATATATCCGGGAAAAAATAAAATCGGAGTTTATGGAATTTTAATCGGATCAGAAATCGGAATCTCATATACATTCCAATTCCAATCCAAATAATTTCGAAAAAGTAGGAAGTCGAAATTTGGGGATTCAGATTGAATTTTTTTTCTCCAAAATCAAAAACTTTTGGATCGAAATCGGCAAAAATCGGAGATTTCGTTTCAATGTTCACACCCCTAATTCGAACTTCGAAATAGTGAATAGAGAATTACTCTTTAGGACTGCAGCGGTAAAACAAACCATTTTATTTGTTAAGTTGTTTAACTTTGTTGCCCTCTTTGATAATTGAAATAGAACAACTTAAATCCACATTTTTACTAATGTTTATATCTTACTCTCATAATTTAGTCTTCACTCGAAATTAAAAAAATCATGAAAGTGTTACAAGCAAAGTTTTTGTGAACATAAAATCTGACAGTAGGTCATGGTTAAATCAGTTCAATCGGGCTGATCCATATTTTTTTATTTACGAGTTATTTATATATAACTATGTAGCACGGACACGGAAACGGTGATACAGGAAAATGAGGATAAGGGAGCGCTTGAGGGAAATATATAAATATTAAAATTATGGGGTATATTTATACATATGTTATATAATCATATATAAGTTTTTATTTATACATAAATTCTTTTTATATATTTTCATACAAATATATTCAAAATAAATTTTACTATCAACTATCAATTAACAACTAATCATTAAATCATGTAAAATAATTAAGGAAGCAACAAAAATATTTGAAAATTTGTTATTCAAACACGTTTCTAATTTTTTAGAAATTGCAAAATAGCCTATAAGGTGTCCGGCAGGTGTTCTCGAGTGTCTGACACGTAACGAGTCCGAAACACGGAAACGTGAAGAAGTTGAAGTTTCCGTACTACATAGATATAGTCATAATTCCTAAAGTAACCATCTTATAAACACAAGTGTAAAATTTTTATTATTAAGATCAACATTAAATATTAACCTAAAATTCTAAGTCAATTTATTAATCACAACAATTAAATATAAAGGGAATCATATCCAATATTATAACATAAGTTTTAAAATCACATTAAATGTCTACATATCCAAATAAATTTGAAGTGAACAAATATGTTTTTTTAGTTGCTAAACACAGTCTAATGTGTATCTATCAATTCTAAGGTGGTTTTTGCAAAAACTTTTATAAAGAGATTATGAGTTTTGTTTTTGCTCATAATCTATTTTTAAGTGTTTGCAAAATGAACTTTTGTTTATGCTTCTCTTAAAATAAGTAATTTTAAGCTATAATTTATTAAGCACCCATTACCTTTTTTTTTCTTTTCTATTTAAGTTTATTTTCCAATAAATTTGCAAACAACGCCAACTTTTAGAAATAAACACTTAAAAGTTAAAACCAACTTAACTCACAATCGTAACTTCTGTTTTTAAATAAGTTTTTGCAAACACCACCTACGTAGAAACAAGATAGATAGTTAGAGGTTGGGGGCAGATAAAAGAAACGGGATTAATGCTATAATGAGTTTTTAGCGATTTGAAATCGCATCGGTAGTTTTTGCAAATAACTCTTAAATATAGGAATGAAAAAAGACTATTTCTTCTATATCTTGATATTAATCTTCACTTGCTTTCTTAGACCCCGTTTGATTGCCAAGATAAGATTAGTCATAAAATTAAATAAGAGACATGCTATTTTCACCCTCAAAGTATCGTATTTCACCACCAAAGTAATATATATATATATATTATATTTTACCCCTTTCTTCATCTTTCACACATATTTTGTATAAATTCAAAAATTGTTCATCATCAACTAATTAGAATATTCACAAAAAACTTCCACCATCTCCAACTAATGTGGATGATACTTTCGTCAAAGAAAAAACACTCGAAGGTAGAAATTAAAAAAAAAAGTGATTCGCGTTTTTGGAGAAATAAATTAAGAGCTTTTGCGTAGAAATGAATTAAAAAAAAACAATGATTTTTGGTCTTGTTGTTTTCAATGGATTAAATTTTGACAAATGTGTTACATTTCATTCGGCGCAATCAGTCCAAATTACTGATTTAGATTGAACGATTGTTAGAATTGTATTTACCCTTTTTAGATTTAAGTTTGGGAAGGATCATCCGTCGGCTAACTATATAAAATTAAAAGTTCACAATTTCGTTGTGCAATATTGAATGAAATTGCTCTGTTTTATTAACACAAGTTACATAATCTACTCGCAATCAAGAAGCATATCATCTAATAAGGAGGTTTAAATATCTTATAATAAAGATTTCATTGCAAAATAAAAAAAAAGGAAGGAACTTAGAATAGAGCGGTGGATTAAAATTTTTGATTTCAAATAATAGTTTTTTAAGGATATTTATGATATCTTATATAGTTTTATTTTACATTTTTTATATAAGGTGGTGAATTGAGATAATTTAAAAGTGAAAATAGCACGATTCTTAAATAATTTAATAACGATCCAATTATTTTATCAGACCCAGAACATCCAACCAAAAAACTCTCTAAAATGCAAGACAAGGCAAGAAGATAAGCTACGATAAACATAATATTTACGGGTCGACCCGACAAGTTGTTGAAAATACCAAATATCAAACAAAGTCCAATTATTCAGGTAATAATTGTTAATCTCCCCAACCAAACAAGTCCGTCATCCATAAATCGTGTTCTCATCATTTGTACACGAACACCTAGAATTACGGTTGGAATAAAATGTACAGAAATTGCATCTAGATAGATAGAATCATAGAATACCCAAAAACAGGTGGAAAGGGAAAAGAGTACAAGTTCCAATTTATAACGCAATTAAGCCCACATTATTTTCATGACTTATAAAATTCTCAAGTAATTTAATTATTCTATATATCACGCAAAAGAATCCTCTTACTCCCCAAGTATTCCTACCAATATATATACACACACCCTACTACTTATCATTACACATTAATTACATTATCAAATTTAAATTTGTCACCTACAAAAAAAATGAGTCCTCTCTTTGTTCTCTTCGTATTAGTTCTCTCTATTTCGAAGCCGGTCGTTTCGATACCGGTCGGTCAGGATGGCAACTCCGGGCCTTGCAAAGATGTGTTCGACAATTTTAGTGCATGTTCCGAATTTATCGAAGGTGGGGCTTGCAATGATCCGTCGGCTACGTGTTGCCAGAAAATAGCAACTTTGAATGCGATCGTGAATCAAGAAAATGGCGGTCGGGTGAGAATTTGTAGATGCATCGAATTCTTTTCGATGTATAACGCAAGCCGTCCTTTCATTACTTCGCGTATTCAAGAATTGCCTCTAAAGTGCAACACACAATTGAGTTTCCCTATCTCTGAACGCATGAACTGCTCTAGGTATATATAATTTCGAACTCTCTCTCTCTCACACACACACGCGCATACAAGTGAATGAGCGATGACTAATTCGTTTTCATGTAATTTTTATTGTTTTGTTGCAGTATCGATCATTAATTGGGAGGCTACGCAATCTCGGCTCTCCACGATGATTTATTATGAATTCCTAAAGTATGAAAACAATTATGTATTACATTTTATAACGCGCACATCCTTTAGTAGTACAAGTGAAAATAGTAATGAATTATTTTATTTAATGGTTGTAAGAACGAAAGTATATTTTATATCGGGTTATTGAATAATAATCCTCATATATATCTATTATGTGTAACGTTTTTCTTTTCTAGCATGAAATCCCTATTTTTGTTATTTATCATGGCTCCGAGTGGATCTTAGATATCAAAATGACTAAAATATAAAACCTTTGCTCAACAAAATAAATGTTAAATGTTCCACAATTTTTACATGGATGATAAAGACAAACCCGGGTCATAAATTCGGGTAATTCGAAGTATTGCAAATTCTTTTTGGCCGGATTATACGAACCCTAATATGTATATAAGCAAATCAGATCATAAGCTCATCATACAAGATGATAGTAGTTCAAAATTGGTCGAGTCGGGAAAAACAAAAACAAAAACGGATTAAGGACAATTTTATTTATATATATATATATATATATATATATATATATATATATATATATATATATATATATATGTATATTTATTTAGCTCATCTAATTTTATTATTTAGTCTACCCAATACACGCATCCAAAGAGAATCGGACCCTCGACCTATCACTTAACACCACTATGACGAGGGTGCTAATTTCGATCTACTGAGTGTTTATTTGTATTATAAATGTTGCATAAATACCACATCATTTTTTTTCTATGACTTTAAAAAGGAAATCGAAAAATAAATAGAAAAATGAAATTTCGAATGAAATTATTTTTTTCAATTCACCTACAATGGGGTTTTGTAGCTGTTTTTTTTTTTAACAGAAAACACAAATTAATATATTAAGATTTCAAGATTAGAGTTTTAGTACACCAGGTAGAACATTTCTTATAGTACGTAGCTAATATATATGACAGTCTTTACCCAAAACATCATTCAAAAAAGTCGGACAATGCTCAGGAGTGGACTTCCAATGCTCAGGAGTGGACTTCCATTTTATGCTAATGATTTGAGTAGCAGCAGTTTTTATAATCTTATTTGGTTTACTCATATATTTTGGAACATGCCATATATATATATATATATATTAATCTTGACTGATATGTTTATTTTGAAATATAAATTCGTTTCTAGACTCCCAATCGAATAAAAGATTTGCAATCTGAGTTTGAAGTAACGTGTTTTAAGAGCATCTCCAACCGGTTTCACCATTTTTTCACCAACTCCTATTTATTGTGGTGAAAAAATGGGTTCATCTCCCACCGGTAGCACACCATTTTACTCTTCCACCATTTTTAGTGGAAAAATGGTGGTTTTGGTCTCCAATGGGTATCACCAAAATTTAGACCAAATTTTAAAATAATAATATTTCACCATTTCACCACTTATAGGAAATGGAATTTGGTTTGGTCTCCAATGGCATTTCACCATATATACCCCAAAACTATAAATCTAATGTTAATCGTAATTTTATAATATTTTATTTCCTAAATATTAATTATAGAACCAATGCTAAGTAATAAATTTTCTCAACTAAATAATTTAAAAATTATGTTATTAATTTTAAAAAATTGTCTAAACATGAAATAACATGAACTCAAATTATTTTAAATATAATAAAATCATACATAAACAATAATCTCATAAATTATTGCATAAATAAAATATTACAACATAAATCAATTTGAAATCATAAAAAAAATCTCATTCACCATTATTATCATCATCATCACCATCATAATCTTCAACATCACCGATTTGAGCACGTTTATCCCACAAGTGTTTTGTTAATCATTCTATTGTTGCTTATTGTATTTTATTAATAGCAATTAGCGTATTAGTTAAGTAAAGAGATGAACTAATAAACATTGATATCAACAAAATAAACAAATTAATTAAAAATAAGCATATTTATATTTTTAGAGTTAATGTTTTGTTAATAATAACAAATGTATTTATATTTTAAAAACTAATTTAATAATTAATACCAATGTATTTACGATAAATATGCTAATAAGTTGGTAATCGGGTGCAATTAGTTAAAATCGTCATTTTATATGGTACTTAATAAAATGGTGTTAATTACGGCAAATCCTATTTTCACCTCTATATTTGGTAGGAAAAATAGGATTTGGTGGAAAGAATAGGAAAATGGTGGACCGGTGGGAGATGAAAATTTCTTCACCAAAAAATTTGGTGGAAAAATAGGATTTGAGTATTTGGTGATATGGGGGTTGACCACGGTTGGAGGCTAAAACCAAATCTCTATAATTTTAGGTGTAATGGTGATATAGAAATTTTGGGTGGGAGGCTAAAAACACCTAAATTAGATGAAAAAATGGTGTTATGGTGTCCGGTTGGAGATGCTCTAAGAATATCTATGAACTATAAAGAGTAGAAATATTCTTCTAAGAGTTATGAGTACACGAGGGGTTGGTTTTGTAATTCCACCTCATTCTAGGGACTTTCCAGTAATTTACTGTAAAATTAAAATAATAGAGGAAGACGCCGAATCGGAAAGCAATCGCAAATGTCAATCATAAATATGTAAATTGCTGTACCAAGTCAACACTCTGCATAAATTCCTTAATTATTTTATTACCAGTAATAATACTGCAAGATCTGCAGCTTATCAAAAAAAAAAAAAAAAAAAGTTATTCAGTAATGACAGGGAGAGAAATTCTTAACAAGATGAAGGTCCGTACATTTTTTTTTTTTATTTTTAATTTTTTTATATTAATTTTTGTTTTTGATTTTACATTTGTAATTGGGCGATTCTTTAGAGTTATCATGTATGGATGTTAATTTTTTGAGTTGACCTTGAACTGAATTTCACTATTTGGGGGTTAGGGTTACAAGGATGTAAAAGAATTAATTACAGTAAAACATCGATAAATTAATAACCTCGCTTAAATAATAATTTCTTACGGTCCCGACTCCGGACTCCTCGGTAAAATTGTACTAAATTATTAGCTCGATAATTTAATATTTCGCTAAATTAATAGAATTTTGTCTGTACGAGTCTTAGTTTATAGAGGTTCAACTGTATGTGGTAATCTTGCAAAGTAAAATCATATGAAGTTTAGACACTCGGTCAATGGTTTGAATGAAATATTCTTATAGGCTAATTCGCAGTGTATTTTGTCGAATCTTGCTATTTATATCTCGATTCTGAAGTGAATTCGGCATGATTATTTCATGGCTAAGTGTTGTTTAACTTTAGTCTTTTCGGAGTAATGAATGTATCTCGTTCATGCTGTCTCTATACGCGTTTGAATTATAATAAAGTCTTTACGGGTTTATTTAGTCGAAAAAAAAAAAAGAAAATCGTATGGTAATATTTTGCTGTAGTGTTAGTGGCATGATTGTATCGATGCACTCACTAGTATACTGGTTTCTGTTATCGATATATAAGTCTAGATATACAAAATGCAAAGTGAAACAGAAAAAGACGAGAACTAATACGAGTCGTTGCAAAAAGAGTGAATGACTAACAAATCTTCAAAAACGGACTCGAAACTGTTTCTTGATCGAATACATGTATTTGTCACGATTTTTAATGCCAAATAGCAAAAGCCATTTATGTATGTGTGTGTGTGTGTGTGTGTGTGTGTGTGTGTGTGTGTGTGTGTATCTGTAATTTGTTTTAATTTATTTTTATTATTATTATTCAGGAAAAAGCATGTTTTTCCAGTCCGGTGACACCCGACGCTAAAAAAGGTGGTAAAAGCAGATTCTCGAAGCGTATTACACACGGGTCGCATCTGATGAAAGGAAAAACACATCACGCGATGGAAGATTGTTTGGTTTCCGAATTTAAAATATTGGACGATAAAGAATTAGGTCTTTTTGCCATCTTTGACGGTCATATGGGCCACGATGTCGCTAGGTACTTGCAAGGGAACCTATTCGACAATATTTTAAACCAGGTGATGCTACTTTTTTTTCGTTTAATTTTCCTTTTAAGGCTCTGTTTGGTTGATTGATTCTTGAAATTTGGAAAATCTCTAATACGTTTGGTTCCTAAGGAAAATGGTGATGAATTGGAGAATATAGAAAACGTGCTAGTGTTTTACGTGTAGTTCTTCTCACTTTTTTTTTTACGAAATTTTTTCTAGGGTTTAGAGGGTGTTTGGTTAAGCTTATTTTAAGCATTTGATAAGTTCTTACATCTCATAAGTTGTTTGGATAATGAACTTATAAGTTATTTTTAGGTGGTGTTCGCAAAAGCTTTTAGAAATAGATTATGAGCTTTTTTTCTCTCATAATCTATTTTTAAGTGTTTGCAAAACCGACTTTTGCTTTTGCTTCTCTTAAAATAAGCTGCTTTAAGCTATATTTTTTAAAAGCACCAAGTACCTGCTTTTTCTATTTAAATTGATTTTCCAGAATTTTGCAAACACCCCCAACTTTTAGAATTAAGCACTTAATATCAACTTAACTCACAATCACTAACTTATGCTTTTATGTAAGCTTTTGAAAGCACTTTACTCTCCAACAACTTTTTTTTTCTTTTTTTTAATCTCTCTTAAAAAAAATTACCAAACACTTTTAAAGAGCTTATAAGTTCAAACATCTTACAAAGTACTTTCACTTTTTTCCCGACTCGTTTTACCTAATATTTTACCTCATAATCAAACAAGAAATCTATTTTACCTCTCGTCTTTTTCCTTAACATTTCCCTTGATCCAAACAAAGCCTAAATTGCTTGTAATGATTTTCTTACCATTTTCATATATGATTTCCTTCCCAATTTCTGAAAAAAAAAATCCCGTGTATTGATTTTGCTCGAACAGAATGAATTTTGGAGTAATACAGGGAGCGCGCTGAAGAACGCTTATCTGGCAACAGATAAGGAGATACTAGAGCAATCGTTTCGCTTGGGGAAAGGCGGGTCAACGGCAGTTACTGCAATATTAATGAACGGTCAAACACTTGTAGTCGCAAATGTCGGCGACTCGAGAGCTGTTATTTGCAAGAAAGGTGTTGCTAAGCAACTTTCGGTTGATCATGAACCGAGCAAGGAAAAGAAGTTGATCGAGAGCAAAGGTGGATTCGTATCCAATATTCCAGGTGAATATAGTTCTACTTCTACTTTTTTTTTATCTTCGTTGGTCTAGACCCTTCTAGAAAGTTCCGTAAGGTTGCGTTTGGATTGAACGATTTGAAATGAGTCCAAATGGGGTGTACTAAAAATATGTATACAAAAAATATTTTTGTTTGTCTTTATTTAATTAGATTTTTTTTCAATGCTTGGTAAATTATTTTAGGGTAAATTACAAAACCCCCCTGAACTTGGGCTAAATAACGAAAAAAACGCCCACCTATTCTTAATTACCAAAAACCCCCTAAAGTTTGTTTCCGTCTTACACCAACCCCTTACATTGTGACTTTTCATGGATTTTTTTTAATTACAGGGAATGAATCTACACAATTTCAGATATTTTCTTTTATTTCTCACCTATTTAATAGAAGGTATAATAGACTGTACACATTTTCTGTAAAAAACTCGATCAACAGTTAATCAGAGGAGGATTTTGGTTATTACGGACAGGTGGAGGTGTTTTTCGTTATTTAGCCTAAGTTCAGGGGGTTTTTCGTAATTTACCCATTATTTGATACGAGTTGATATAAATTTATTTTATACTCGATGTATTTACTAATATATGAAACGGTAGTAAAAGATTAGGAATATAGTAGAGCTCGTGTGCGGGAATCGAATTGGATTCATTTTATGAGATATAGTTTACTAGGCTCTATTGTCGTGTAGTATCTATGTATGGAAAATCAATATTTATAAACATTCACTTCAAGTTTTATCGAGCCTTTGTCGTGAAATGAAGATGCCCTTTAATTTTATTTTTATCAAGAATACGAGAGTTTTTTGTTCACATAGGTGATGTACCAAGAGTTGATGGGCAGCTGGCAGTGGCGAGGGCGTTTGGTGACAAGAGCTTGAAGAGGCATCTTAGTTCCGAGCCGGATATTGCAGTCGAGATAATAGACGACGACGTCGAGTTTCTCATTTTGGCTAGTGATGGCCTGTGGAAGGTGACGCTTTTCCGATCTCTTATTTATATATATATATATATATATATATAAGCACACACACACACGGAAAAATTTGGTTTGTAAAATTGAATGTTTCGAATTATAATATGGGATTGTTTTATGCGAGACGCTTTTTATATGCCCGATTAAAATTCGGGCTCATTTTTTATGACGAGCTTGAAGGATAAAACCCCATGATTATATTATCTACCAAATCTAATCCGAATTCCGAAACGATCGCTTACAGGTGATGTCGAACCAAGAAGCTGTGGAGTCGATCAGAAGTATGAAGGACTCTCACTCGGCAGCAAAGCATTTGTGTGACGAGGCTGTTGCGAGGAGAAGCAAGGACGATATCTCATGCATTGTTGTGAGGTTTCACTAATATATATATATATTTTATCCAAAATATTATTTTACGATTAATGTTTAATATGTTATTATATGTAATTAAAACGAGCGGAATTAATCATTTTCTCGTGTAAATTTTCCGTAAAAAAAGTTGTTTGCCCTTTTCCCTCTCTGTTAATATTATATGAAGATACACAATGAATCATCACTTCAGGTATTTGTATACTAGGATTTTTTCATGTTTTTTTATGAGTGAACCTTTTTTCATATTTTTTCTTGGCATTTTGATTGGTTGATAAAGTCTGCCCTATGTTATACAATCTTTTTGATTTTGGTCCTTATTTTTTTGCCACGAAATTGGTCCTCAAATAATCGGGTTTCTTTTCCCTTTCCATTCACCGTTTGATTTTGGTGTTAGTTTGGATGGAAAAAAAGCATGTGAGGAGGCATGTGCCATGCTATTTCAAACCCTTTCTTAAAAATATTTATGATTTAGCCCCAATTCAGTGTGTGGAATGTTTTTGGTATAATGTATTATATCTCTTTGGATATCAAGTAAATATCTTCTATTTAATGTTTGGTACCTTTATTTTTTTTATTTAGTGTTAGGTTGATTTACTCTTCTAAAAAAAAGTCATTGTTTACACACCAGTGTTTTTTAGATGATACACGCCGTGAAATATATCATATTATCCTGCACCATTGATTTACACATAATGTAACAGATCTCGTATGTATGTGTGTTTTGGTGGATAATTATTTGTATAGATCAATGATGCAAAATCATTCGTTGTTTTACACCAAATGGATCATCTCATAGACCTATAAACCAAATTTGATAATTTTACAACAGTCAAGATTAGTTGAAAGCTTTAACGCCAGGTTCAAATACGACATTTACTCTGATTTTCTTCTTTCGATGCGCTTATCAAATATGGAATAATATATATAGGCGTAGTTTAGTTACATAATTTTAAGAGTAAAATGCAAAAGCCCCTGTTTAATCGGTTGTTAAAGGCAAACAACCCCTCGCGCTCGTCCGTGTCATTCACTCGATGTTTGTGCGACTGTCGTGCAATTTTTGACAACTTTTTGTATGAAATGGTAACAAAATATATTAAATATAAATTAATTAATTAAAAAAAAAAAGAAGATGAGTCTCTTCTTCCCTGTCAAACCCACGTAGCCCTCCACACCGGTCCTAGCCCACCCATCTTCACCTCCCCTCCGGCCAAGGCCGCCGGCTCGCCGGAAACCTCCACCCCTTCCTCCCTAATAGTACGATGGCATCTGCAATAACCTCGGC